CATCTCTGCCTCCATCCCTCTGCCTGGAGCCAATCTGGGTTCCAGGAACAAGGTCTGACCTGATAGACACCTGGGATGAGTCAAGGCTACCCCCACCTCGGCAGGCAAGGCCAGCTTCCTCATCCCACAAGACCTGCCTAACCAACCCAGAGCTGATGGACAGACCACACCCGTTGTGAGAAGCCCCAGGTGGTGTCCTCACGCCCATTTCTATAGAACCTCAAGTCTCTGTCAGCCCCTGGAGGACAGGGCCAAGGACATTCAGTAACTAGTTACCACATGAACATAAAAACAATAAATGATATGCTGCACACTCTTGGCCAGCACTGGAGACTGCGACTACCAACACCAAACACCAAAGGAATGGGAAACAGTGCTGTGTCCATCTGCCAACGGAATCGCCAAGTAGAAAACTCCAAGGATTCTTTGCATGGACACACACTCATACACCAATTTCCAAGTAAGACACAAACGAAGGGTCCTCCCCTCCCCCACCCCAAGCTTCCCCCCTCTTTCAATAACACCCCACACACCTCTGGAACCCACTGGCTTGTATTCAAACTCACTTTTGAGTCAGTTTGTTTGTAAAAGAAAAGCCTCCCAAGGTATGTCGAAGAGACAATGAAATACACCTCAACACCAGTACCACTCGGTCCTATAAAAGGACATCCTGAGTCATTAAGGAGCGCGTGACACTGAACATGTTCAAGGGCGTCAGGGCTGGGTTGAGGCTCAGCTGTAGAAGAGCCTCGCCTAGCACATGCAAGGTGCTGGGTTCTATCCTCAGCACCACATAGAAATAAATAAATAAAATAAAGGTATTTTTTTAAAAGGGGGTGTCTGGATGCCACAAAGCTGAAGATCATACACTTCCCATTGTCCCTTGGTTTTTAAAAGTAACTCTCCATGTCGTTCTGCATTGTGGACGTCTGCTTGTCCCATTTTCTTCCCTGCTGAACACAAGGCTTAAGACAGCAGGTGTTCAACTGCGTGACAAGACCCACTCCCTATTCTGGCCCCCTGATTCTACGAAGAAGTTCTCAGGATGGACAGCTTTCACTCCCTAACTCCTACTGGGTATTTACTCTTTCAATTTTCTGCCTGTCCTTATTTTCACATTTGGGGAGGGCCACGAACAACTACACTGACACAAGGTTGTGAGCCCAGACCACGGGCTTGCAGGCCGACAAGGGCCAGGCCCTGGGAGGAGCCCAGCACACTGGAAAGCAAGCTGTACAGCAGCAGGGCCCAGCACGAGTGGGTGCTGTTGACACCCAGGACCATGACGGGGACTCAGTGTAAAAAGCCTGACAACTTCACCACCTAGGACTAGACTATTCCAGTAGAAACAGACAGTCAGATTCCCCAGAAATACCCTACAAAATGTTTTTATGACTATACTGGAGGCAGAAAACAACTAAAATATCTTAGTTTATAAATATTACATACACTGCATTTAGCTCTGAGTTACTGAAAACAACTCCACTTTCACAAAATGGAGAGAATTCAATAAAAAGCAAAATGGAAAGCAGTTCTGATGCAGATAAACAAAAAAATCTATTTGGGAGCATGATTCTAAGGGTGCCCAAATGAAAACTCAGACTTCAGATGGCTTTACTCCACAATTCAATCCAGAGCAGTTTTTTAAGGAAAAATTTTAAAAAGTCAAAAGAAATCAGGCATCAATAAGAAGGCTAGGAAGGGGGGAAACTTTGTTGTCCCACACCTTTAAAAGTGTTAATCCTCTAAAATAAATAAAATAAAGTCAAGACAAAAACAAAAACAAAAGGAGGGAATGGTGACATTTAGACTCACTTAACATTCAGGGAGTGCTGACCTAGGCAGTGCCCAAGGTCAGCAGTGCCCAAGGTGCATTCCCCTGCTATCAGTTTCCAGAGGATTAAGAAATCTAGGAGATAAGGGCTAAGACTCTCAGGCTGGTTCTTCTTAAAAGTGTAGGCCGGCCAGGTGTAGTTACACACACCTGTCATCACTCCAGGGCCTCAGGAGTCTGAGGAAGGAGGATGATGAGTTCAAGGCCAGTCTGGGCAACTTAGTGAAACCCTGTCTCAACATTAAAAAAAAAAAAAACCTGCTTAAAAGGGTAGAGGGTGTAGCTCAGTGGTAAAGTGTCCCAGTCTTCAATCCCCAGTATGATTATTTCTTTCTGTCCCTGATAAACTATAAGTGGCCCACTGAAGCCTAAGGCTGCCTCAGAGTGACCTGAGCACCCAGGACACAGCAGCTGATCAAAAGATCCCTACTCAGAGGGGAAAAAAAGGCCCAAGCAGAACCAGCTTTTTTCCTAGAGGTGGTATACCCTGGAAACAAAAAAAAAAAAGTTTGGGGAGTAAAATAATGGCTGGTAAATCTGCCAAGTGAAAGAACACAACTGACGTTTAAATCCTGACCTTTCAGAACAGAATGGTAGGTTCCCAGATGGGCGCTGAGACCCAGAGAGGTCATTAAAGACCCAGAGCAGTGTGTCATGAAACCAAGCATGCACAATAAAGTTGATGCTTAACAGCTAAACTAGACGGTACAGACGAACAGTGGTCCTGGGGCAGAAAACAAGACCAAGGACTGTCACAAGGAAAGCAGGCTCACAGTGTATGAAGAATTGCATAGAGGACGGGAGCCGCAGGCTCAGTTTTTAAATGTCAGACAGTCCAATTTTAGGTACTTCAAATTAAACATGTAAAGACTTACTTCATCTCCAGGCATCTTTATCTCTGGAATGAATTTCTGAAATTAACTTCTTATTCCAAGTAGAGAGGTCTAAAACAAATTCCTGCCTCAGTAATTTTACCTGGTACTGGCCCTCAATTCCCTAAAACAAATCTCATAATCACATCCCCCCTGCAACATCTTCTCTCTCATGGAAGGTTCTTTACTTTCCATCCTTTCCCTCTTAAATCCGGCCTACCCTAACCCTGCACTGCTGATCTGATCTGGAAAGAGGAAATATCCCCTCCACTTCTCCAAATCTGGGCCCTTCATTCATTCTTTTCCATCACTGGCTCCTTCCTTTGAACCTTCCACAAGAGGTGATTTCCAGGGGAAGGGGCTTCAAGGACTGAACAGGAGCAGCCTTGAGCTCCCTTCCCCCCACCACCATAACTTCTTCTTAACCCCCAGGTATCCAGCTGGTTCTAAGAACTCCACAAAACTGCAAGGGTCACGGGCTCCCAAACAGCCAATGACAGCAAAGCAACCTCTCTTCTCCTTAGCCTGGCCCCTTTCCATTTCTGAGCTCTCTGCCTTGGCCTTCCACCCTCCAGGGGCAGGTTCCCAGGCTGTGGCTCCAGGCATCTTAAGTGATCACCTGTTGTCCCATTAGAAATGACATGGAAAAGCAGCCCTAGACCTGTGTCTATCCACTGACAATCCTCATTAAATCCTCTCCTCCCTCTCGTGTGTCCCAAACCAAACGCACCCGTCTTCCCTCCCACGCCCTACTTCCTATCTGTGCCAGGTTCAACACCAACGCAGCCGCCTTTCTTCCACTGACAGAGCCCAGTCGGCTTGCCCATGGGCGAGCACCGTGTTCTGCCTCGGTGGTCTTGCGGCGTTAGCATTTCAGCCCAAGCTCTTTCTCAAAGTTCACAAGGGGCTTCTATGCTCACAAGTTGCAGGAGCCCACAGGCGGGGAAGGGCCTGGGCTCCTGAGAAACCCCCAGACGAAAGTCCTGCACTGCCGCAGGGGTCATCTCCAGGGCTACACCGACCAGGAGCCAGGCCTCCTCGTTACTGTAAAGCCCCAACAAACGCTCCCCAAGTCAACTCGGCAAGGCTGTCCCGGGGCGCAGGGCGACAGCGAAGCGATCTTGGCAAAATGCCTCCTACGGAAAACCCGACTTCTGGAAGGAAAAAAGGTACGGACTGGGCCGGGTAAAGCGAGTGACCGCAATTCCTGCTGCAATTCGCTCCTCGCTCCCCCGAGGCCGCTCCGGGGATGCGGACGCGGGTCGCCTCGGCGGTCTGCTAGGGACCGGCCAGCGACGAGTCAGAAAAGCGGCTCCGCCCGCAGTCGCCAAGTTGCAGGAGGCCGTGCTGAGCACCAGCTGGGGACGATGCTGGCTTCCAACAGAAAGCCCGGGAGGGAGGCCGGCCCGGGACCTCGGGAGACGGAGGACAACCGAAGGCCGCGACCCGCACAAGGCCGGGGGCCGCGGGAGGCAGGTCGGGGCCTCGGGAGGCCGGACGGCGGAGGCCCGAGGTCACTGGGCCGCCCAGCGGCGGAGCGCGGACGGGGAAGCGGGCGCGGGGCGCGGGCCCTACCGTGGCTCTGCAGGATCTCGCGCTTGAGGCCGCCCGCGTAGTCGATGAGCTCCTCCAGGCCGCGCTCGCACAGCTGCGCGTAGCCCGAGAACTTGAGCAGCACCTTCTCCAGCTCGCGCTCCACCGTCACGCACTGCTCCATGCCGGGCTGCGTCCGCGGCGTCCGGCCGCGAGGCTCCCGCGCGCGTCCCGGAGGCCCGGCGCGGAGGCGGCGCGCTAGCCACGGCGCCGGGGCAGCCCCGCGCGCGCCCGCCCCATGGCGCCCAGCCCTTCGCCGCGTCCCGGCCCAGCTCGCCGCGCTCAGCCCCGCGGCGCCGCGATTGTTTTGTTTTCCGGGAGCCGCCGCCGACCTGGTCCTCCCGGCGGCACCAGGCCCGCGACCTGAGGGGGAGGGGCGGAGGGCGGTACCACGCCGCGGGGGAGCGAGGGCCGTACCACGCGGGCGTGCGGGGTGGCGCGGAGGCGCGCGAGCCGCGATTGGCCCAGCCGCCAGGGGTACCGCCTCAAAGCCCGCGCGAGGAGGGCGAGGCGGCTGCGCGCTGCGTAAACAAGGGCGGGGCCCCAGCGCTCCGGGGGACGAGCCAATGGGCGTGGGAGAGGCCGGAAGCCAGTGTCCTCCAATCGCCGACCGCGGCGTGAGCCCCCAGCCAATCCGGGTCGAGGGCCGAACCAACGGGCTCGCTGTTGGAGGGGTGACGGGAGAGCCCCGGACAGCCGGTCGTCTTGGGGAAGCCCCGCGGGCCTCACAGCAGGCGTCCAGAGGGCTGCTTCTGTAGCTTTGCTCTATCCGCAGTGCCTCTCGTCTCCTCGGCGCTCTGGAGGGAAGAGGGTCCGACGTTCCGGGGTTTTGATTGAAGGACCAGCAACGCAGGTGGAAAACCGAGCCCGGCTGCCCGGGGTCTCGGGCCGGGGTCCCGGGCCGGCGGTCAGCGGCACGGTGAGCAGGGCCGCTGCTGGCCTTCCGGGCGCCTGCGACACGGCACTCGGCCGCCCTCCCCAGCCTGCGTCCTAGAGGCGCTCCTGCCAGGTGACCGCGGGCCGGACCGCAAGGCCTTGCCCGATGTTTCCCGGGTGTCGCCAGCGCGGCCCGAGCCCCGGTGCACGCAGCTCGAGCACGCCGAGTCCTGGACTCCCGGGACCTCCGGGCTGGCCCAGCTCTCAGAGCCCGTGCACCCGCCGGTGCCTGGAGCGGGAGGACTCCTGAACGTCTCCTTAGCTCCCAGCTCCGGTTGCCGGAGCCCTCGTACCTTCCCCCCCTCCCCCCGTCTCGTGCCCCCCGCCGCCGGGTGTGCTTTTGCCTGCGCAGTGCCACCTTTCCTCTTCGTGCCTTGTCTGCACGGCTTCAACTACAGTGTGAAGGCAGACCCCTTCCTACTACAACGGTGCTGGTGTCACCGCGGTGACTTTTTTTTTTTTTTTAACCAAGGTGGTAAACTTGTTGAGCCTTAATTTCCTTTTCTATGATTTGGAAATATTTGAATGAATTGTTCACGGGATTCTTGGACTGAATCAGGCGGTGCACGTGACGGTCGGTGGGAGGCACAGGGTGAACGATGGTGGTTATTATTAGGACAAGCCCGACTGGCGCTGTTGCAGATCTTTCTCCACCCCATGTGTCCCATTTTGTTTTCTCCCCTCTCTCTTGGCAGGTGGCCCTTATTCCTGCTTCACTGAGATAAAAAATCATCAGTTCCAACAACCTTGCCACTCTTTGAAAAAAAAAAAAATTCTACCATCAGTTTTGTGAAAGTTCTCATATACCTAAAGGAACAGGACTTCCCTCTTGCACACTCTTCGTCTCGTACTAGGTTCTTCCCCCTTTCAGGCTGAAAGAGTTTGACCCTAGGTGTAGGGGTCCCTTCACTCTACTTTCCTCAAGCTGTGTTTCTCTTCCTTGGTCCTTTCACTCTCAAACTGCTCTGGCAAGTCTATTTGTTCCTCCCTTTCCTCCGAGAATCTCCCCCATAAACTCAAGTCACCCTAGTCGTCTCATCCCCTCAAAAGTTCTTGCAATGATTAAATAATGTATGTAAGGCATTCAACATAATGTGTGGCACAAGGAAAGGGCTATTATTGTCCGCTGAGCAGAAATAATCCAAGACTCCTCCTTATCAACAGCTTCAAGTGCAAGGTCTGCCCAGTGTGATAACCCAGCACAGGTCCTCCCCAGGCACCAGCAGTCAGTGACCCCGCGAGTGAGTACCGCTGAGTCATGCCTTTTCTCCTGGAATACCAATTTTCAGCTTTCAGACCTTCCCTTTCTTGTAACAGGACAAGCCTTATTTAACTATTGACACCTTCTAGAACTAGGACCACACTGTTCAGTACAACAGGCATCAGCCACATGAAGCTATCTAAATTAAAATTGAAGTTAAATTTCACTTCCTAATTGTACTAACCACATTTTCAATACTGGATGGCCACTTTGTTAATCAGCACAGAATGACATTTCCATGGCTCTGTGGTTTGATACTGTGCTGAACCAAACCACAACCCCACCAATGTCACCAGCCCTGTGTTTGCTATATGAGATAGTCTGATGCATGTGTGCATACCACCCCCATATTTCTAGTTTTCCTGTTTGTACCTTGTTTATTCAACTACATTACCAGCTCCCAGATCAGGGCTGACTTCTCTTTTGTCTTGTGATGTAATCAACAGAGAAGAAAAAAGTCTTATGTACTTGCTAAAAGAAAGAGAATAAACAAATTAGAGTAGTCTAGGCTTCAAATTTAGTTCAGAAAAGAGATAAAAATAGTACTTGTATGGGCAGAGACTTTTCTGTTCCCTCTTTAGTTTGCAGTGGCCTTCCCACCTAGTGCATAATTGCTTTATCCTTAGAGAAGGATCTTTAGAAACAAGGTGGGGCAGATTTAGTTTTTAGAGCAACTGCAAAATTATTTTTAATTTTTATTATTTTATTATTATTATTTATTTTTATTAGAAATTTAACTTATTTGTACCATGCAACCAAATAAATAAAACACACCAAAAAACTCACTCCAGTACTCCAGTATGTGGATACTTGCTTCCACATCCTGTCCAACCTGGAGAGTCTTTCATTTGTAATTATTCTGTCCTTTGCTTTGGTCCTCCCCTCCACTCTAAATTTGATTCTTTATAACATGTAGCTAAACATTTTTTTTTTTAATGTAACTCAGTGGTAAAGCACATGTGTACACAAGGCTTTGGATTCCATCCAGCCCTGCAAGAAAAGAAAAAGGAGGAGGAAAATAAATCTTTTGTCTTCTGACCAAAATGCATATTAATTGTAGGAAAATTAGAAAATAAAATGACCAGAAATAAAGATCCTATAAAATCTCAACATCAAGGAGGGGAAAAATCAGCTTTAACATTTGAAATTTACAGATTTTTCCTGTGCAAATACATATACCCATATGTGTATTTTTACCAAAGATTTTTATAAGTTGCTTTTGTTGTCCGTTCATTTCTCTAATTAAAAAAAAATGCCTAACTCCTTTGATTTGTACTTATAAATATGAAACCAGGCAGAGGCATGGTGAAAAAAATAGCCAAATTTTCATTTCTTTCAGATTTAAGAAACTATAAAAAATTTTAACTGATATAGAAATGTTCTTTCCTAGGGAAAAATAATACAAGGGGGAGAAATGAATGACAGTAGAGGGGGTAGAGAGAGAAGAGGGGAGGGGAGGGGAGGGGAGGGGGGATAGTAGAGGATAGGAAAGGCAGCAGAATACAACAGACACTAGTATGGCAATATGTAAATCAATGGATGTGTAACTGATGTGATTCTGCAATCTGTATACGGGGTAAAAATGGGAGTTCATAACCCACTTGAATCAAAGTGTGAAATATGATATATCAAGAACTATGTAATGTTTTGAACAACCAACAATAAAAATTTAAAAAAAAATGTTCTTTCCTGCAAGATATACTTTCAGATAAGGGTAAGAAAGACTTTATAATTACAATTGTGAAAACGAATTAGCAAGGTTTACAAAGACTTTAACTAATTTCCTGACTTTTTTCTAGTCACAGCTGATATAAAAATATAGGTAACTGATAAAATATGTTAGGAAAATATCGGTCCTTTTCAGTGTTTTAAAAAATCAATTTTCTTCAGAAACCTGAAATCTCCGACTGAGACATTTTTGGAAGTTACTGCTAAGGCCAACTGGAGAATGAGTGAAATCATAGCCAGTGGCAAAAGGTCTTGATCTGAATGTCTTCTGCTCTTCTGTCCTGTGTGGTGGGTGGGGCACACTGGTGCTGTCTGCTGGTGGAATGAGATCATGCCCCACTTCCAGAGATTGGTGGGCAGTGTTGAAGATAACACGTTTCTTCTGTGTCCACCCCCACCCCCCTTCAAACTGTACTGCCCTCTCAAAGTTAGCCTGTCCTCAGCAGTGAAGCTCCAGCATGGCCTCCACCACTTCCAGAGGCAAAGACAATTCAGACATGGCAGCCTCCAGTTAGGTCACCCACTTCTAGACTCCATGTAGATGGTACCCGGGCAATGCCCTCATACGTGGTACCCAGTCCACAGGAGCATTGGTTACTATGGACCTGCTGCTCCAGGCCTTATTTGTTGGAATCTCTCTGGAATCTGGTTGTCTTCCTGTTCTGTTTTTCTGTTTCCTTATCACCATTTTGTGTGTTTTACCGGGTGGAGGAGGAGAGATGCTAGCACTGTGACCTGGAAGTAATGTATCCAGCCCCTCCCAGCATCAGTTTCCTTATCTGTAAAATGAGAAGCTTGCAATAGATGGCCTTTAAGTTCCTTCCAGTTCTGAAATTACAGAGGTGACAGTGCTTATTAAGTAGAATGTGAGGCACTATGCAGCCAAACAGGAATGGGCAGATGTGCCCTCCTGCTTCTGAAAGCTTGTGGTCTGAATCATTACTACTCATAATAGAAACACAGGGATTTTTTTTTTTTTTTTTTTTTTGTATTTTGTTTTTAGTGGGTGGGGCTTTATTTATCTCATAATAGTTGCTATTTGCTGAGAGCTTACAGTATGCTGGGCGTTCTGTTCCAAAATTGTGACTACCTCAATCCTCAAAGCAGCCTTTCTTTTGCCCCTTGTGTGATACTAAGGATGGAACTCAGGACCTTGCACAGGGTAGGCAAGTGCTCTACCACTGAGATACATCCCTGGCCCTTTTTAAATTTTATTTTGAGACAGGGTCTGGGTAACTTTCATAGGCTGGCCTCAAACTGGTGATCCTTCTGCTTCAGCCTCTAGTGGCTGGGATTAAAGGTGTGGACCTGCTGCAGCCATCACAGCCATTAATTCAGAAACCAGCGAGAGATGATGGGGGATGAAGGAAAGACAGAGGAGCTGGGGCCAGGTGGATAGCCAACCTCTGATGGAGACTGACCCAGAGCTGGCTCAGCACATTGATTATATAGGCTTTATCTTCAAAAGGCTATTGGTGAGAAAGTTATAGAAAAGCAGGCAATCTGAAGGACATAGCGAAACATGCAAGACATTGAGGTTATCTTGTTATGCCCAGAATTCTCTATCCCTGGGAGTTGGTGCCTGAGCTCAATGTTCCAATTGATACAGCTACACGCCTTTGCACATAGCCCCCCAGCCAGGTGTCACCATAACAATTGGGCCATCTTGACCTGCACCTTTGCACAAGAAGTTCTCAATACCAACAAGCCATGAGGGAATCAGAAACCATGGTTCAAGTCACCACCCTCCACACGGACCACCACACCCAGCTCCATTTGCAGCCTTTTAATTTTTTTTCTTAATTTCTGAGTGCTCTCATCATTTTGAAATGATGACTTGTCCTCCCTTTCAGAAGTACAAAGGGGTTTCTCTCTCTTATATATACCATGAAAACTTGGTAAAGCGCCTGGAGGTACAACGGAAACATGGGGCCCTCCACGACTGGGCCCAGGTAGAGCTCCTAACTCAGACTCATTCACCCAGATCCTCAAGGTTCCTCCAGCCCTGGTTCCTGGGAGGTGCCTGCTCCAGCATCATGACCTGCCTGCCTGCCAGTCTGCAGGAGCTAACAGCTAATTCTCTGACCTCACTTCTCCAGTGAGTCTGCCAAGAGCTGATGTTTTTCAGTTTGTTCAGGTGTTTACTTGTTTGAATAGTGATCGCTTCCAGGCTCCTTATGTGGTAGGCTGGGAATGGGAAGCCTCCTTGGACTTTGTATGCGTTTGACTCTGTTTATGCACAGAGTTGCCTCTCTGCAGAGGAGGTGTCTAGGGTGTGCACTGCTAAAGGGGTCATGGCTTTTAACCACTTGGGGAAGACTCCAGGTACTAAACTAAGCAAGTGTTTTAAAATAGCCTTTTGAGACTTCTGGCTCCACCAAAGTGGGCCGTGTCCTCCCTTAAAGAAATCTGGACATGCCCCCAAAACAAGCACACAAAGACTTTAAAAGATGGGGGCATGTTGAACTGCCTAGAATTTCAGAGGTGAGAGAAGATACAGTGAAAATTCCCCAGGTTTACTTATTTCATCACAAATCCAAACCAGGCACTTACAGAAAGTGCCATCCCAGCTCCATGAACAGGCACAGAAAGAATACATCAAAACAAACAAACCAGCAAAATCCTGTGTTCCCTTGCCAAGGAGTGGGACAGTGTGACCTGATGGCAGGAAGCCTTGTTGCAAAAAGTGCCCTGACATTCACAAAAATTGTAATTCCAGCTTTTCAACCCTGGGCAAGAACCCTCACCAAACTTTAAAACAGTTTTAAAGTCCAGACAACCAAATGTGCATAAAGAAAGGAGGAACGGTAGAGAAGGATGAGTGGCATAAAACAGCAAACTGACAAAAGACGGCCACGCCCTCCATCCCCCAGCAGTTCTAGTGGTACCAGCCTCAGAATGGACCTTAACGCACCTCCAACCTGTGGGAGTGGAGGCAGCTCCGTTCCCCTGTGGATGGCTGGGCAGGCTGACTATGGAGCTGAGCTGTCATCTCTGCCTGGCGGAGGCAGGTAGGGTTCCAGTGCCCAGCAGGTACTGTCAGCAGACTGGGCACCCCTGACCAGAAGCTGGTGTCCACTTTCCCT